CAGATTCTTGTAAACTTGGTCATCAGTCATTCATTATTACCTTCAGCACACAAAAGTTTTGGCGTAAATATTTGTAAGCTGCTAAACCCTAATTTAAATAAAAAATTTCCATTTGATGGTGGGTTTTTTTTTTCAAGTTATATAAATTATTAATATATGTAATCGTCATTATTCATATAGATGTTAACAAAGGATTTTTTCTCTAGCTAGTAATATAGCAAATTTTATTTTACAATATTAAAATCAAGGAAAAAAAATAGAACTTTTTAATGAATTATGTATTAACCAATATTGAACTTTATATTGATGTAATCACAATTTTACCATACCATCATAAAAAATGACCTGCAGACAGACTATATTCAGACACGTGTCTGGGCAAAATTTTGCTCGTAGTCGTAGCACAATGTATGACCGTTTTCATTTGTCCAAAGCAGAAATTTAGGATATTAAGCTCAAAAACTAAAAAATAAGCAGTAATTTTTAAAAGCAATATGTCTAAGGCAGTAGTTAAACATCCTGTTATTTTTGATGTAAACCTATTGATGTGTTGTGGTCAAGGCTTTTAGTTTTATTTAACACAGGTTTTAGGGAGCAAAAAGACAAATCCATTTTTCGCTGACTAAATGGTTAATATTCTATACCTAGACATGAAAATTACTGCATGTCACTCAGAGCGCGTCAAGATCGCCAAAAGCGTGCTATAGGCGTGGTGGAAACGCCAGATATCATGCTGTGGTCTCCATGGTCACCAAAGATCGCCGAGTCACAGTGTTTGTTTTGAGCATGTTCAAAACAAACGGCAAAGCTGTGAGAACGTGACTTTTTTCAAGTTTGTAATTTTTGGCGACATTTTCACGCGTTGTGTTCACGTTTGCCGGTGACCTTGTGCATTTTCTGGTCGCCGTACGGTTGCAGCAGCGCAGTAAGGATGCCACCCCAGTCTGACTGGGGCATTAGTCTCAAAATGACCAGTATTGCCTTAACGAGACTTTTAACCCCATTTCATTTCCCGTATTCATTTGTCTGCATAGTGCAGAATGCTAGGAAATGAAATGGTGTTTAACACCTAGTGCTCTGCTCCGACTGGGCTAATGAAGACGGATATACGCCATACAGTGTGGTATGAGGGAAATTTTGCCCTGAAGTGACACAAAAGGGATCTTTTACATGTACGCAAATGTGTACAGGGGGAAATTGGTTTTTCATCCCATCTGAACGACTATACAGCTGTCCTTGTCAGGCTCTCCGTACTGCACCAATGACAACGGGAAACCATGTCGGAACGGGATTAACAAATGACAAACTGAAACTTTATGTAACAATTAACAATAACACCCTAAACTTTGAGAGGCATTTAGTAACGGATAGAGCAATAAACTATAACACATACTTATGGAAAAACAGCCACTTATTTATTTGTGTGATGTTTCGAAGAGTATTCTCTTAGCTAGCTTTATAACTTTGAGAGAATACTTTTCGAAATGTTACCAAAATATATAAGTAGGCTCTCCGTTCTGCCCCACTGACAAGAGAACACCACGTTAGAAAATCCTGATGAACTTCATTAGTTTATTTGGTACAGAACAGTTAAACCTTACGTCTGATTTCATTTTATTTTATTTTATTTATTAAATGTACTTTTGTCTAGATACTGTAGTCCTATCTGGTACAATCATTAACAAAAAGGTAACTGTTATTATTTTCAACATGGCAGATACATTTCCACAAACCAAAATAGACACATATTTGTGTTTTAAACAGTTTCGTAAATTAAAATACAGACGCTTTTATCCAAATTTTAGATAGAATATTTTATCGTGAATATAAAATGGCAGTTCACAAAATAGAAGATAAACTGTAATTATAAAAAAAAAAAATTTTCGAATAAAGTAAGTTTACAAATTAGTGGGGGTTGTTTTTAAAACATAGATAGCATTTTATCATGGTTATGTATATTAGGATCAACAATTTGACAGAGAGTGTCTGCCTGAACATGAATTAAATCTTTATTTTCCTGAGGTTTTTGGCTACAATTTGTTACTACTGTTGGCAGACACTAAAGGCTCGTTTCTGTGTCTGGTTTCTATGCGATAAGAAATTAAAAGGTGTTTTTATGTGAGAAGGTCGTTAGATGATAAATGCCACGATTCCCGTTTCACTGTAATCTAATTATTGTAAATATATGAACAAAAAATATTTTAATACAATAAATATTATTGTAGAGTTTTTACGACAGACAAACTCTCATTGTTTGTTTCTTTTCCATTGGATTTCCTGTGTTATAATACGGCAACATTCTACATGACCTGGGCCCTGTTTCACGAAATTTTAACTAAAGATAAAATCCAAATTTTAGTAAATACTTCAATTTTGATTGGCTAAGCACAAAAATCAATCTAATATTATCCAATCAAATAACTAAAATTTGGATTTAATCTTAATTAAAATTTCGTGAAACAGGCCCCTGGAACCTTATTCACAAAAACTTCAACTGAAATATTTGATGAATGCAGCCTTTTTATTGGCTAAGAGCTAAATTTGGTATTACTAGACTTTTAACCCTCAAGGGGATCACATGGCTAAGTGGTAAGACGCTGGCTCGCTAGCCTGGAGGTCAGGTGTTCGATCCCTGCATTGGCTGAGAAAATTCATCCAGATTTTCCGGCGTGGTTTCCCCTGGTCAGTGATGCAGGACGGAGGGCCTGACAAGGACAGCTGTCTAGTCCTTCGGATGATACGAAAAACCGAGGTCCCGTGTATACATCGGAATGCATGTAAAAGATCCCTTGGCAGTTGGAATTTGATATAAGAGTAGGCGATAGTGCCGCTGCCCGGGCAAAATTTACCTCATAGCACACTGTATGGCGTATGCCCGTCTTCATTAGCCTAGTTTAGGAGCAGAACAGTAGGACGTTAAACCCCATTTCATTTCATTTTATTTTTAACCCTCAAGGGGGGTTGGCTGGCCGAATGGATAACATGTGCGCATTGCATCATAAGGTTTTGATGCCCTGGTTGTAGGTGGCAAGACGTAGGGTTGCCCGTCCAACATCATGTGTTTTCTGTGTGTCCTCTAGTTTGTTCCCACTGTTAAAAAACCAAACGCGCCAAATAAAATTGAACCATGTGCTAGTCCCGAAATGACCTAGTTTGTTCCTTTGGTGATTTTAAACGATTTTTACAAATTTTTAAACAAAGATTTGATATTAAACGAATGTGAAAGAAATTAGTGCTAGATACACAAGATTAAACAATACCTGGGTTACAGTGATAGTATAGTGAATGGATTAAACGTACTATTCTGTATGGTCAAATCTGAAAACGACTATAGACAGCTAGTACTATTGTGAAAGGATTAAGTATACTGTTAGGACTGGTTTCTGATATTATTTTGTGTTTGAGACAGGGCCAACGCATACACCCTCCAACCCCACCCACCCCACAACTAATAAAATCGAAAACCCAGAACATGAAATTTGAAACTGTACAATTTATTCTAAATTGCAAGAATAAGTAACACACCAACCTTTGTTTATGTTTTTTTTTCTCTGATTATACAAAAACGGTGACCCTCAAATGTCAATACTGTGCCCTGATGGCTAACACCAGCCCTGCATGCTGTTAACCTTACGATCCTTTAAGATACAAATTCTTTAAATAGAGACTGTTTAATCGATTGCGACTCCAGTTAAACTGATGCTTTTATGGACAAGTTTTAAAAAAGATGGTAGTTTACTTAAAATTATAAAAATCAGTTTTCTGTTAGTTCAATTTCTTGTTACACCCTCTTCCTTTTCTTATCTGAATGTAAGAAACCATGTTTTCATACACGTACTTATGCATCTTGATATCTTTGTATTTAAATATTTGCAATCGACAGTTGGGTTTTTTTTATTCGTAGTTAGAGAGTTGGGTGGGCAAATGGTTTAATGCATGAACTATATAAGGTCTGTTATTGAGTCCAGTGGTGTGGTTTCGATTCCCCGCTTATTTATATGTGACAAGGATAGAGAGAGAGAGAAATGGGGTTTAACATCCACTCGACACAAACTAGGTTATTTTGGAACCAACACAATGATAATTTTATTTTAATAATTCGCTTGTGTGTAAGGGTCTTTAGCAGTGGGAGGAAACCGGAGGACCTAAACTAGAGAAAAGCCACAAGGTTGAACAGGCGACCCTACTCCTGGTCACGGTACAAGTGGGGAATCGAAACTATGCCATTTGACTCAATGACAGACCGTATGTTCCAACGCGCATATACGTTAACCGTTCGGCCACCCAACCCCTCACGTGACAATTTAGGAGTAGAGTTTCTGTTTTTGTAACTCATCTTTTAGAAAGCCCCAAATTACTGCTCCCTAAACCACCACAGAATTAGTTACGGTTCTTAATGGAGCAGTCATTTCGTTGTTTTTTAAGGGGTCCAATGCAGAACTACAGAGATTCATAGACATACATTATTTTTGGAAGACTACCAAGTCCACGAAAATGAATTGTCTCTCTCCACACATGCAAACAAATCTACCACATTTAATAATAATAATAATAATTTAATACATTTATAAAGCGAACACGTTCCAGCTAGTATAGCTGCTCAGTGGCGCTGGTTTTACATCAAGATAAATACTTTAAAAATACATTTTTAATTTTAAATATATTAAATTTATAATTATTTTAAAACAAGGCTTAAAATTACTCAAAATTTAAAATATATATAAGTTTTAAAAGTTAATTAGCAAATACGAATAAAATCATTACATGAATAAAGCAATTTAAACACTATTTACACACTATTTAAAAGCATGATTAAAAAGTTCAGTTTTAAGGTTTTTCTTAAATACTGCATAGTTTGAGCTGGATTTGGTTTGTTGGGAAAGTTTGTTCCACAGCATCGGGGCAGAAAAATTTTATAAAAAGCTGGTGAATCGAATATGATATGTTGTGAATTTATTTATTTGTCATGATAACATGTTGACGATATTTGTCTTTTACAGGCAGAGTTAGATAAAGTACGATTACAACATGGCAGCCAGTTATCTGAGTTAGAATTATCATCGCAAGTTAAACTTGAAGCGCTGAAGACAGAACTTGATAATAACTGGGCAGAAACTCTCAAGTAAGAAAAATTATCATTTATTAATTTTATCTAGATTGTTCGTGAAAAGAATCTATCTAATGTTTATTATGAAATGAAATGGGGTAGAGATGAAGAGGTCGAGAAAAGATCTTTTGCATTTGCAACAACATATCGGGGAAACCAGTTACCAATTAAAATTAGACAATCCAAATGAATCGAAACAGTCAAGTCAACATTGCAAACCCATCTTTGCCAAAATAGTTTTTTTATGACTAATGAGAAAATACTTGAAAGCTCATTAGGAATAAAGGGTATGATAATCATGTGCTATATTATTGTTAACTCGTTAATTACCACTTATCACCCCCACAGAATGATATAATTGTCACCAATCCTATTTTTGTTTTTGTTCCTAGAAATGAATCAGAAGTGAGAGTTTATACCTTAATTAAATAAACAGCTACACATAGAGATAAAGGGATCAATGTTTTTATAATCTTAACTAATATTAACTTGTTTATTACCAGGGGGGTTGGATGGCCGAATGGTTAGCATGTGCGCGCTGTATCATCAGGCCTGTCACTGAGTCAACTGGCGTGGTTTCAAATCCCTGGTTGTATGTGACAAGGAGTAGGGTTGCCTGTCCAACCTCGTGGATTTTCTCCAGGTCCTCCTGTTTCCTCCCACTCCTAAAAAACCCTACACACAAGCAAATTATTGAAATAAAATTAAACCACATGTTAGTCCCAAAATGACTAGTTTGTGTCGAGTGGACGTTAAACCCCATTTCTCTCTCTCTGTGTTTATTACCAAATGACACATGGAATGATATAGGTTAAGTTTGCCACCAATCCTATTTGAATTTTTGTTTCTAGAAACGAAACGATGAAACTAAGTTAAGTTTGTCACCAATCCTGTTATTATTTTTGTTTCTAGAAATGAAACGATGAAACTAAGGAATCAGATGGCTGATCAATTCGAGGGCGAGAAAAATTCTGCAATTCTACGGCTTACTGCTAGTCACGAGAAAGAGATAACGAAAATAATATCTGAATGGGAGATCCAAGTCAACTCACTGACACTACAGGTATTTTTCACCAACATTACTGAATTACTGAATTTTAAGGTCTGTAATTTAGTCAAATTTGGATTTTATCATAGTTAAAATTTCGTGAAACAGGCCCCAGACTTGTAGAAGTAGAAGATCGTCTAATGGGTCGACGTTTCGAGTGCAATACCCTTTATCAAGATGTTTCCCTTCTCAAAATGACTTGTAGAAGTAGAAGATTGTTTAATGGGTCGACGTTTCGGGTGCAATACCCTTTATCAAGATGTTTCCCTTCTCAAAATGACTGAAGTATTCTATTGAAATGACATTTAACTCCCATTGCCATTTGTTGTTTAATATTTCTTGTCCATTGGACAATAATATATTATCTACAACTTTGTCAATCTGTCCTCAATTTCTTGTGGGGGTTGGGTGGCTGAATGGTTAGCACGTGCACGCTGTACCATAAAGTCTGTCATTGAGTCAACTGGCATGGTTTCGAATCCCTGGTTGTACGTGGCAAGGAGTAGGGTCGCCTGTCCAACCTCGTGGGTTTTCTCTGGGTCCTCCGGTTTCCTCCCACTGCTAAAGACCCCTACACGCAAGCGAATTATTAAAATAAAATTAAACCATGTGTTAGTCCCGAAATGACCTAGTTTGTGTCGAGTGGACGTTAAACCCCATTTCTTTCTCTCTCTCAATTTCTTGTGAATGTACTTCAAAAACAGTAATTGCTCTCTTTCCATCGTTCATCTTGACGTAATTTCCATGGTTTCCTACAAGCTTATGAATTCTTGTAAATGAGATACATGATGGAGTCCTTGATGAAATCATTCATTATAAAATGTTTTTTTGTAGACATTTGACGCCATTTGATTGTATAGATAATTTCTATTCACACTTTCAGGTCACAGATCTACAGAGAAGTGCCAATAAAACGAGTTTAAAATCCACGGAAGAATTACAACAACTCCAGAATGAAATGGGAACTCTGGAAAATCGTTTACGACAGGAAATGATGGACGCCAGTGAGGAGTACTCGAGGAAAATATCAGTGATGGAATCCGCACAAGAAGATCAGTTGAAATCTGTTATACAACGAAAAGATGAAGAGGCAGCTGTAAGTTAAATTTGGATACCTTAACAAATGAAAAGGTGTTTAACGTCCTACTGGTCTGTTCCAACTGGGCTAATGAAATGAAATGAAATGAAATGGGGTTTAACGTCCTACTGTTCTGCTCCTATGCTGGGCTAATGAAGACGGGCATACGCCATACAGTGTGCTATGAGGGAAATTTTGCCCGGGCAGCGGCACTATCGCCTACTCTTATATCAAATTCCAACTGCCAAGGGATCTTTTACGTGCATTCCAATGTATACACAGGACCTCGGTTTTTCGTATCATCAGAAGGACTAGACAGCTATCCTTGTCAGGCCCTCCTGGGCTAATGAAGACGGACATATGCCATACAGTGTGCTATGAGGGAAATTTTGCCTGGAGGTCGGGCATTCGATCCCGGTGTTGGTCGATAAAGTCTATTGGTATTTTCCGGCGCTGTGAAAGGTCCCATATACACATTTGAGTGCATGGAAAAGATCCCTTAGCAGTTGGAATTTGATATAAGAGTAGGCCGTAGCACAGTTGGAATTCAATTTATGAGTAGGTCGTAGTGCTGCTGTCCGGGCAAAATTTCCCTCATAGCCCACTGTATGGTGTATGTCCGTCTTCATTAGCCCAGTCGCAGCAGAACAGTAGGACATTAAACCCCATTTAATTTCATTTTTTAAAAGAATTGTAATAGAGTTTTCAGGGATGTTATAATTGCACAAATTTACAGAAACTGATTTGAAAGGTCAGAAAAGTTGGGAAGGAATTATTCAAGCATATCTGAGATGAGAGAAATTTCAAGAAATAGTTTGAGGTATTCAAATTCGGCATTCGTTGCCATGGTGGCGCAGTATTAATGAATCTATCAGTCAAACTTAACCAAAATAAAAGTTAGAATGAATATCAGAATTATGGTATTTCATATTAGCTGTCTGTCAAAGAGTTGTTTGTATCGGAATCATCTGGTATTGCTTCTGTTGCTGTATAAGATTGAGAAGACTGAATATTTAATAGGATCAAATTTTCGTTTTTCAATATTCATCTCCCGACTTCACAAAAATAATTTTCAAAGGAAATAATGTCTTTGGAAAGTGAGAGTGTAATTTGAACCAAATTGGATGTGTTGATTTGAATTATCTTTGGTATTTGTAAGGGAATTGGACTGTTGTCTAGAATATCCTGGGCCGACGGACAGACTTCTGGATCTATCAAATCTGGTGCCAAATTGACAGAGAGTTGTCAAACTGTTATCTTACCTATATGGAGAGAACAAGGAGTAGGGTCGCCTGTCCAACCTTGTGGGTTTTCTCCGGACCCTCCAGTTTCCTCCAACCCCACCCCACCCCCTGCAGGAATTAGATATAAGAGTGGGCCTCATAGCAAACTGCATGACATATGCACATCTTCATTTGCTTGATAAGTGCAGAAAAATAGGACATTAAATTATATTTTATTTTATTCTGAAATATTGTGTTGATTAGATGTTAAATTTAATCTAAATTACATCCTTTTCATATTAATCCTTGATGTACTCTAGAATCAAATTAAATTAGATTCATAGAAAATCATAAGTTTAAAGAATGGCAATAATTCTTTAGTAGTTGGTATTTTAAGTCTGTCAGTTTAGATCTTTGTCTGAAGGAAAATTGCTTGATCCCCAGGAAGTCTATATTCATTTGTAATGAGTATTTTGAAAATTTTCTCCCGTTCTGTGTGGCTAGACTGAAAAGGTTGGGTGGCGAAATGGTTTAACGTGTGCATGCGTTAGATGATAAGGTCTGTCGTTGAGTAAAGTGGGGTCGCCTGTCCAACCTCGTGGGTTTTCTCCGGGTCCTCCGGTTTCCTCCCACTGCTAAAGACCCCTACCCGCAAGCAAATTATTGAAATAAAATTAAAAACCACATGTTAGTCCCGAAATGACCTAGTTTGTGTCAAGTGGACGTTAAACCCCATTTCTCTCTCTCTTAGTCTTGAACGGAGATATCTTTAAGCTTCTTGAATACTACAATAAAACCCTCAAGAAATCTGTGATCCTCTACTGACATATCATAACTTATACACCACACTTATAATTTATCATCATATGGTAACCTGTCATTCTATTTAGAAGACATCTGTGATCCACTACTGCACATGACATGTCATAACTTTTACACAACCCTTATATTTCCATTCTCAGTGATCTATATGCTGCCCTACCTTTAGCTGACTAGAAATTGATTGGCCTGTCGAACCACATGGTTTTTGTCAGGATCTCAGGTTTTCTCCCACAGCTTTCCTCCTCAACCATATGTTAATCCAGAAATGACCTAGTTTGTGTGGAGTGGACGTTAAACCCCATTTCTCTCCCTCTCTCTCTACTCCCACAGCTAAAAGACCCCTACACACAAGCTAATTATTGAAATAAAATTGAACCATAAGTTAGTCCCAAAATGAACTAGTTTGTGTCACATTGACAATCTCTCTCTCTCTCTCTCTCTCTCTCTCTCTCTCTCTCTCTCTCTCTCTCTCCCTCCCTCTCTCTCCCCCTCCTCTCTCTCTCTCCCTCTCTCTCCCTCTCTCTCTCTCCCTCCCTCTCTCTCTCTCCCTCTCTCTCTCTCTCCCCCCTCAGTCAATCACACACAGGACCTGACAAATTAATTATGTTGCAATATCAACTTTTTATATTAAATTCCAATTTTTATTACTTTTATATTAAATTCCAAAATAACCTATTTAATTGGAAGGGGAGCAGTCCCTGGCCAGTTGACACCCATAACACTTTATGTTTTATGTGTTTAATTTCCTGACCACTGTTCAAAAATTAATCATTATACATCAATAATCAATTAGGTTGTTTATTTTCTAACAGTGATCGAGAAATTTAAAAACGCTTGTAAATTGGACACTTATCAAAAAAACTGCATCCAGGACAGAGACTGGCAAATTTCTCTGAAACAAGAGCCTTATGTTAAACAGTATCAATTATACAGGAATTCAGATGATATATTCAAATAGTGTTTTGGTTATTAAGTTATAGAAAGGGCACCTTGCGATAGAATGATATAATACTACATTAATCCATATATACTTCATATCAGATATTATTAATTCATATTATTAAGTTACAAGCAGAATTTATCTGTCAATTACATGGTTTATTTAGGGATGGTTAGTGGCCAAGTGGTCTAGCATGTGGGTTGTATATTGGAACATTTATAAAGATATGAATGATTACGATATTGATTGGTATTTTGAATCGCAAGTCATAAGTCATCATAACCTTATCCTAAATTAGTCTACACATTTTGTCGACCAGTCATTCAAATGTCTTTTAAGAAAAAAATCGTTCATTCATACAGTCTCCTTCAAAGATTGCATTCATTCATAAAGTTCTTCTGTTATATTAATAACAGAGAAAGTAATCTTGAAATGAAATGGGGTTTAACGCCCTACTGTTCTGCTCCGACTGAGCTAATGAAAACAGGATTACGCCATACAGTGTGCAATGAGGGAAATAATGTTGCCCTACCCTTATTTCGAATTCGGGGGTCACAGTGGCTAAGTGGGTAAGACGCTGGCTCGCTAGCCTGGAGGTCGGGTGTTCGATCCCTGCATTGGCCGAGAAAGTTAACCCAGATTTTCCGGCATGGTTCCCTTTTTGTCAGTGATGCAGGAAGTAGGGCCTGACAAGGACAGCTGTCTAGTCATTCGGATGAGATGAAAAACCGAGGTCCTGTGTACACATTGGCGTGCACGTAAAAGATCCCTTGACAGTTGGAATTCGATATAAGAGTAGGCCGTAGTGCCGCAGTCCTGGCAAAATTTCCCTCATAGCACACTGTATGGCGTATGCCTGTCTTCATTAGCCCATTTCGGTGCAAAACAGTAGGACGTTTAACCCCATTTCATTTCATTTCATTTATTTCGAATTCCAACTACCAATGGATCTTTTATGTGCATGCCCTAGCAATATTCACTTAATTCCCTAGCCATATTCATTAGCTATACTCACTTCCCTAGCCAATATTTACTTCCCTGCCAAAGGATATTACAGAATGTAATATAATTATTATTATTATATTAGTGTAAAAATCACCTGATGTACATGACGAGATGTCAAACCCATTCCATTTTAAAACTAATTAACTTTCTGACATGTAGCTATATTGTGGTTTACCACCTTCTATAATGAAGTACATTAGTGTCCATGTTAAACATGCCACCAGCTTAAAGCGAGTATGGCTCTATTCTTTTGAATCTAAAACAAGACAATGGGGGAGTTGGATGGCTGAATGGTTAACGCATGCACACTGTATCATAAGGTCTGTCATTGAGTCGACTGGCGTGGTTTTTATGTGACAAGGAGTAGGGTCGCCTGTCCAACTTGCGGGTTTTCTCCGTTTCCTCCCACTGCTAAAGACCCCTACGCACAAGCGAATTATTGGAATAAAATTGAACCACATGTTAGTCTCGAAATGACCTAGTTTGTGTCAAGTGGACGTTAAACCCATTTCTCTCTCTCTCTAAAAAAGACAAAACATGTCTAAAAGCACATATTAATTTAATATGAACATACACAATGTGATTTATTATATTCATTTTTTAAAAAAAATACATTTTAATTATGTTTTGTGAAATCTTTGAACAGCCCAATTTGAATGACAGTTGTTAACAACTGCTGAGCCCATTCTATAAGTTTTGTTGTTATTATTTTGTCATTTGTGAATCAGTCATTACTAATTACTTCCGCAATTTCTTTTAGGATATGCTTTTCTTTATTCATTACAAATGGCATCTAAAACGATACAATACAGGACTTGTGTACTGATTATAAAATGTTAATTGTGTCTTAAATATTGGATATTAGGATCCTGTAGTTCCACGGCAAGATAACAACATCAATATCGATTGCAACTGACCAATATTGAATTATAGTTCGTGTTTTAAATTTAGAATATTGTCACCACGATCTGTCAAGACCCTACAATTCCCTCTCTATGGTTTAGTTAATTATGGGTTACCTTAACATT